GGACAGAAAGGAATGATCTTCCCATTCCTCCCCAGTGTCCAAGTTCAGATAGATAAAGGATTCAACCATATCAAGTGGTGAATGACATCACCCTTCTACCTCCCCAAGAAACCCAAGCAGGCTCAGTATTTTGCAAAATACACTTAGGGTCAGCTTTCAGTTCAAAAAAAGGACTTGAAAATAACACAAAGGAATTTAATCTGAACGACTGCACAAAGAGAGAACCCTTCAGTGAAAATATGAGAATATTGCTATTGACAGAAGCGGGGAGGAAAACTGCCAGTTTTCTTGATATATAATTATCAAGAATAATCAAATTGCCATGGGTAACGCCAGAAGAGATGCAAACCTCCTTTGGGTCCCTGAATGAAGTCCTAATGTAACATTTCCTCAGATTGGCACAGCCTGGTTCCCTCCTGGACGAGCAGTGTCTCAGCAGCTTCCCAGCCGGAACGTTTGCAGGGGGAGGTCTTGGTTCTGGCCCGAAGCAGCATTACGTGTTTACTCTATAACTGGCTGACCCAAACAAGTCAAATATCCCCCTGAATCAGGAGAGCTGAATCCAGCATAAATCAGCTGAGCTTCTCGCATGCCAGAAAACCTTTGGCTAAGCAGTTAGGACAGGTCTACAGCAGAGCCAAAGAACTGGCTTATAATTTTGTGGTCTCAGTCATACTTCAGAAATTAAACTGATAATCCTCCATCTTACTTTAAAAATAAACCTTTCTGCCTCACTTAATCCTGTCTCTAAACATACTTGGGCCAGATCTGCAGTGCCCAGAGAGAAAGCCATCGGTTCCAGCTCCTCAGGCTTATTCTCCAGGCATTCCCAGGGGCTGTACAACTAGCAGAGCTGTCTCTTGGAGTACCCTTTGGGTACCGGTTCTTCTTTGATGAGCCACATCTGTGACACAGGTTCCTTAGGGACGCCGACAGCCAGCCAGATTTGGGGCAGATTTGGCACTGGATGAAGAACAGGTTGAACTGGCTTTCAATGTGACAGCCAGGACACAAAGGTGGATCAGGGCCAAATTGCCCTCATGCTGAGCTGAGTGCAGCAAACCCTCTGATCTCGATAAGCTCAATATATTTATTCTTTTTTCTTTCAAATTAACCTGTCCTGTTTTGCTTCATTCTTCTTCCATTTTTCAAAATCTGATTTCTTTTTTGTTTGCCCACCTGCCTCTGTCTTTTTCTTCATATTTTTTGTTGTTGTTGTTTCTTTGTTTCCAACAGTGGACTTTATTAATGCTTCCTTCATTGTTTATGGCATTCCTGACATTACTTTACTAACTCATACTTTACCAACTCATACTTTACCATACAGTATAACATCTTTCTTTTTCTATTCATGCTGTATTTTTCCCCCAAATGCAGTCCCTTCTGAGATCAATATGTTCCCCCGAAATCCCTTAAATGATGTAACAAAACATTCATTGGAAATAGTTTGACCCAGGTGCAATGTCTTATCTGTTGCCATTAAATAGCTGTTTGGCTTTGACAGGATATATAACCAGTTTGTGTTGAATAGACTTGGTTTTAAGTTGGTATTCAGCTCTCCTAGCATAGACAGGGATGCATTGTCTTTCTTCCTACCACTGTTTTCTTATACTGTTTCAGATTACAATGATACATGCTTTGTCTCCTTTTGTATTCCAAAGCACTAACATTTTTTATGTTGCTTGATTTTACTGGGTAACACTGAAAGGAACATAACCTTGGATGAGATTGTTGTGGAAAAACAAAACCAACTTTCCCTGACATCCCACAAAAGAAAACTTTTATTGTTTTATTATTCTGTCGAGGAATTATTGTCCAATTCTACTTTAGAGTTTCCAGACATCATAATTAAAAAGTGGATGTGGGCTCAGAAAAATGTCCCATTGTTATTTTGGGTCAATTGCTAACTCAAAACACTCTCTGATAAGAACACCAAGAGGACTCCATGAAGAAGTGGTGCTGGGATCTCTGTTACAGCATAATGGCTCTGAGAGGGACATTCCTGCAGAGCAGGTGAGTCTCGTCCTACCAGCCCAGACAGTAAGCAGGGCTCATTTCTTAGCAGGCTGGATTATGACTGAGCAATGAAACAATGAATAATCAATGCCCTCTCTTGCAATATTATACTAATGCTCTTTCCTGACTGACCACTGCTTGTGTTGATTTTAGCAAGTTCAGTATTGTAGAGTAAGATTCAATCACTCAAGCTTCACCAAACTGGGATGCAAATGGCTCATCTAACCTCTTTGGACATCTATTTTAGAATGGGATAGCTCAAATCCTAAATGTGCTTATTTCTCTTAATTGATTATAAGGGGAGTCTAAACAGATAGCTCACATAAGGCAGAAGGGGTGGACTAGATGAACTTTCCAATCCAAACCATTCCATGATTGTATGATCTGAATTTCTATCTTGTAGAGCATTGCATTTGGCCAGATGAGTCCCATCCAGACAGATTTCTCTTTGTTTTATTTAAAAATGGATGAGGAAACTTCAGGAGGCTACAGAACATTTTAAGGAAATAAGTTTTGCAACCTCAAAGACAATAAGTATGTTTTAGAGGCAAACCCATTTTAGCAGCAAGCTGGTAATAGTCTGAATTACTTCACTGGTTCAGTCCTATTTAAACAGGCATGATAACATATAATCATAGTTCTTCAGTTTTATTCCTTAGTGCTTTAGGAAATGAAGACAAATTGCCTGAGCAAATAGAAGAGCTATTCACCTCAGATCCAGATGAAACTCTTATGTCTATGTTCCTCACTGCAGACGACATTTTCTTATTGATTTTAATGACACCATGATTTTAACAAAAAGTCAAATGTATCATACATCGTTATTTTGATGCAAGAGGAGAGCATTTTGAGGGCTATATCCAGACCAGGCTGTAGACAACAAGAATTTAGATATATTAACGCCTTGCTTCTATACGTCTGTCTGTCCGGGAGTAGCATACAGGAACAGACTGGTCTCCAAGCCAGTGTACATTGTGTCAATCTTGTGTAGATTCTCATCACAAGTCCATAGCAGTAATGCTTGAAGCTAACTACTTCTGGCAGCAAGGGTAAGCTGTAATTTCCTGTTCATGTTCGTCCATTAAGCATCCAAAGCCGTAAACCCCCTCTCTATGGGAGACCCTCTGGTCCTTTGTTCAAAGAGAAGAGCATTCCTTCTTATGGGAAGGAGAAGGAAGAAGAGGAAGATGCAATTGTCTCTGGATTTTGCCCCTACACTCACAATTTTTTCTGTAGTGATGATCCAAGAGTTCAGCTTCCAACCCATGATCTGCATGATTTAGTCTCAGCTTCCAGGATTTTAGATCATGGGTAAGATATGCACAGAAAAAAAAGCCAGTCTGGGGAGGAGGAGGAACCAGAAGCCAGCGTTTTTCCTTCCAGTGAGTATGGCTGGGTTGGAGTCATGCTTCTTCTCTGGTCCAACAAAGTTTGAATTCTTCTGGCACAGTTTCTGAGGTTCAGCAAAAGGAAGGGCAAGTGCCAGAGCTGTCTGGTAGCTAGATGGCTTTTCCTGGGAGATACATGAATTGCTGAAAGCAGCCCTCGCTGCTTGGCCTGATGGTCTGAGTGCTAGGGAGAGGGTGGGAGACAGGTCAGAAACTTTTCCTCTGAATGCATGTTAAAGAAAAGTGGTTGCTGCAGATTAATTTATCTGAACCCAGTCCTACCAGTATACGTTATAGGCAAAGGTCTCTGTTCAAAGGAAGCTTTTAATCTATTTATAAGCAACACTTGCCTGGTTCTGTCAAGATGGGAGCAGTCTGGGAATGCTCTGAGACAGTCATGGACATTTGAGGGGTCTTAAAGTGGAAGAGCATGGTACATGGTTTTCTCTTCAGAGCAGCTGTCTGAAGGTGTTTAAAGTTGCTGCTAAAGATGAAGATGGGTCCCAGCAGGACTGGTGGGAACAAGGAGGCCCCAGTACACAGCTGTGAGGCCATCAGTGGGAAACCTCAGCAGATCTCTGTGGGCATCATTAGGCATCTTCATACCTTAAAAAATCTGCACCCTGATGACATCTACTTTCTGCCAGGGAGGTGCCTGGGCCAGCAGCTCCCTGGGGCCAGGACCACATGGATTCTCCAGAGGTGACAGCCAGGGACCTTCCCACAGCCCCAGCCAGGAGCAGAGCAGCCAGGGACATTGGGGCAGCCCCAGCCCCAGGCATCGAGCACCTCCCTGGGGATGGGAATGGGCTGAGGCCAGGCCAGGACATGGTCCCATGGTTGGGCCCAGCTCAGTGGTACCCCGTGGCCAATCAGGGCATAGATGTGGGGAGCTGGGCACTGACCCTGCTGTGGCATCATCGTTCCAATGGGGCTGACATGGGGTTTGGACTGTGGGCAGGGGGGGCTGGGCAGGAACAGTCAGGGCTGTCTGTGCCTCAGGGCCCCAACGCTTGCAAGCATTTGTCAGTCCAAAGGTGGGTATGGTTTGTATTGCTGCTGCTATGTTACCCTCTGCTGTCCACCCACTGATGGGGAGCACACCGCTTGTCTTAGCCATACTAGTCCCACTCACATGGCTTTTGTGTGCATCCTGCTTCCACATAGGCTTGGATTTCACCCTTGCTTCATAATTCCAAAACACGTGCCACTAAACCCAACTCTAGTATGCACTCTAAGCATCATTTGGGCCTGAGAGTGACCATCTCAGCGGCCAGGATATTGATTTAAATGTCCCTGAAGGGATATGTGGCTTTCTTATTTGCTGAAAGTTAGTCCCTGTGCTTCTCACAAGTAACAAACCCCTGACCATATACACTGTATTGAGTGTCAAACCGACCTGTGACACTCCTAATGGAAACAGGCTGCTTCACTGCAAAGCAGCCTGGGGCATGTGATTCCCTGGACCATTCAGCCACTGCAAGATTGTTTTTGGTGACTGCTATGGGTGGCATAGCTCATGTGGACACACTGGACAGTGAACTCAGAATCTCAAGGTGACTTAGATGCTATCTTCAGTCAAAAGAAACTCCTCAGAAACATAAACAAAGATGTTTACTCCAAATAAAAATTCACATTCACATCATTAAATCTTATGAAGTATAAGGAGGTTGTTTTGAAAATTGTGAAGCATCAGTGTGCTGCCATTTTCATCAGACATGCCTGGGCCATGCATGTATCTCTGAATGTGCCAAGTCAAATATCCTTCTATCTGCAAAGGGTTTGATTTGGCTGGTGACACGGTTCTGACACTTCCACAGTTTCATTTTCTCCCGATCTGGCAGTAGAGGCTCATAGAAAACCCCAAACCGATAATCTGGAAAACAAAGAAATTTTTGGTATTACTTGGCAGTCCTGGAAATCCCAGGATGCAACTGATACCCAGTGAGAACATTTTGTTTGCAAATGTCTTGGATTTACATGCAGGCTAAATGTGCTATGCAGAAGACCTTTTCCAATCTAATTTTTGAAGAACTTGAAGACTCTAGAATATAGCTGTTTTAATGAAATCACTATGCACCACAGGTAAGGCTGTGGACATGACGGAATTTATTTCATTTGAATTTCAAATTAATTTCATTTGAATTTCATTTCAAATGAAAAACATTTCATTTGTTTAAAGGATGGATCACCTCTGTGGATGGAGAACTCTGTAGCTCTGGGAGTTTAAAATGCAGTTGTTTGTCAGCTGCAATGGAGCAGCAAACACTGAGAAGTTCAATCAAATTTGACAAAAATTTGATTTTTCAATCTGTAAGACAGTTGGAGGAACTTTCTGATTTCATTGTGCATTCTAAGGGTTTTCTCCATTTGAAATCTCTCTTCTTTTCTACTGCCACTTTCTTTTATGCAAATATATGTGTAAAGGCATACATGTGAATATGTATACATGCATACATCTATCCACAAACCCCACCATTCTGAGTGGCAAGTGATCATGCAACAGATATTTTGTATTCATTGGTAATAGATTTGGGATAGAAACATTGAGTCCATTAAAAGAAACTGTTGCTTGAAATATAAACTTCAGTAGGGTCACTTTCTGTAGTGGGAATTTCTGTATGGAATTCCACAGCCTGGCACAGACAGCTGGTGAGATCAGATGATCAGAAAGCTTCCTTCTAGATTTAAAATTAACCAGTCTGCGAAGGTGTCTCAAAAAGTGGAAAGTGTCCAATTGACACTTATGAAAATACCAGGATGATTCATTTATTTAAGGAAAAGACAGTAGAGAGAATATGGAACACAGGGGTACCGCAAAGAGACGGGGATGGACTCACAGCTGAAAGAAGCTGACAGGATTTCCCTAATATACCATGCCCTCATTTTCACTTGTGCCGTTCTACTTGGTATCATTTACACTAACAGAATGAGCTGAAACCATTTGTAGCCCACAAATGGCTTCAAAGAGCAGGCAGCGTGTGTGTGTAACAATAGGGAAGAGTACTTTTCTTTGTCCCCTTCTTTTTATCTGGGGTTTTCTGGAGCAGAAAGATGGCTAAGCACGTGGCCTTTGATTTGCAATTACTTGAGAAATCATAATATGTTAGTATCTTTGGAAAGGCTGAATGTTTATCAAGTGTAAATTGCCAGCTGACAATTTGTACCAGCTGAGGCTCATATTGTTTATTCATGCTGTTTTCTAATCCTTTTATGATTGGGAGAGGCAGCCACCACAGAAAATGCCAACTGGGGAACAGGGAAGAATGTTGGCCAGTGAACTGAAGGCTGCAACTCATGTAACTGCAGTAACTAGAGCAAAGAGACTCATAACTTACCTTTGGGAAACAGATGCAATTTTAAAATTCTTTTATATTTTAAAAGGCCTTTTAATATAGGTGTATTTCACCTATTCCCCCCCCTCCCCCAAGTCTACATAGAGGTGACCTCCCACGTATAGCACCTTAAATAACAAGAAGCCGGTGCTGCGCAAGAGGTCAGTGGCCTGTCCTCTCCCAGTGCTGCAGCTGCGTAACGTTTCCCCACCTACTATAATTTTCCTGGAAATGTATTTTTGAGTTGGGGCTCTTGCCCACTCTTCTACCACGAGGAGCAATCCTCTGCCAATGTTGTTAAGAAGCTTTCACTTGGAATGACAGACTGAACTCTGCACAGCAATCTTCGTCATTTCTGCTTTTCCCTCAAACAGGGACAGGCGAGAAGGGAAACCACAGAGGAATAGTGAAAAGAAAGAAAATGCCTGAAGAAATCAACATGATGAAATCCCCTGTTTCTTTGTCATTTTCTCCTAATCAAAGCCTATCATTCACCAAGTCACTGCCTGGATAAACTCACTGGTTTTACTCCTCTCTTCAGAGAAAATTTTGCATCTTATTCTTCAGTGTATGCTGAAGCAATTAAAATAAAGAGCTCACATACGCTGCATATTTTACGCACAGGACTATATGGAGCAGCACAGGTGTTCACTCAGGCATATTCACTCATCATCTTGATAGCTAAACTATGCCTCAGAATAAAATTTTTGTACCATAATTTCTCTGTGAAAAGAATTTGAAGTCTAGGGGCTAAGCTTTCTTATGACTTTTTCCTCAAGCAAAGAAGGGAAAGGTAAGGAAAAGACCAGATATGCTGCCTTGTGTCTTCCTGGGGCTGGGTATCCACATACCCCTCTCTCAACAAGGCTCATTGTCAAGGCACAGCCTGGCTCCAGACTCTCAAATCTTTGCAGAAAAAGTCCCATGTGAAACACTTATACAGGCAGCAGGGTGGTCTGATCTCAGCTGAAGTTAGACACTCAGCAGCCGTATACTGTTTATATGGAATAACTGTAAGATTACAGCTAAGGTAAGAGGTGGTTTTCCCTTGTCTCTTAATTGAGCAAGCCAGGTGTTTTAATCCCATTCCCAGTGTATTTCTAGGTAGAAAATATTGCTTGTCAGCTACTAAATATTTTAATGGTGTGTACTGATACCTCAATAACGGCCAGTCCAAAAGCAATCCCCATAATTATGAGCAGATGGTCTTTAAGGTAATCGATAATCACATCTCCACAAGGCTGAAAAATAAGAAAAAATGATTAATTATAGGCAAGCAATGTTATCCTAAGGTTTTTTGGAATGCATCTTCTAAAATAGATCCTCTCACAGTCTCTCGCTTTCTCTCTGTGCTAAAGAAATTCTATTTGAATTTACTTTGACTTGTTGCTAACAAACACAAAGAACACAGCTATATGTACCTTGTGCTCTGAGGAAGATATCTAGTTTTTGCCTTCCTAAATATGAATATGAATTTAGTAGCTGACTATAAAAGGGTGAAGTTTCAAATGAAAACATACAGCTGCCATGTCTAATGTTTGTATTATTTTAATTGACAAGGAAAGAAGCATTTATTCTTACTTTCATTTGGTAATTGTTTGCTGCTAGGAAAGAGCCAGTGCAGATCTGAGAGAGAACTCTAGCTTCCCACTAGTCTGATCCTTGGATTTGAAGCTTCAAAGCTTATTGTTATAATCGGGCTCAACTAACAACATTCAGATATAAAACCTATATTTAAAAATAGTTTTGACAAATGTTTAGTGGTCTTAGACTAGGGCTGGGAGGAAGAGAAGTTCTGTGAAGTTCTGTGCAGACCTACTCTCCTTTTTAATAAATGCATACATCTGTTCTTATAATGACTACATCTTCTCCAGGCATTGACAATACTCCTTTAACTACTGACTGCAGGGAAGGCCAAGTAAGGCATAAATCCATCAACTACAGTACTGTTCCAACACTATGACTACCTTCCCCCAAATACAGTTATGTTATTTCACCATATTTCCTCCTTCACAGTAAGCACATGGGTCTTCTCCTTCCAGTTCTTCTAAAACTCCTTTGATTTAGGCTGACTCAGAACTGTACTGAATTCCAAATCTTTTTTCCTGGATCAACAAGAGTTGAATGTCTTTACTAGAATCTAACACCACCATGAAATCTATGTGTTCATGTGAACAATATCTTGCACCTGCAGCAATTTCACTGATGGCTTCTCATGTGTCCTTTGAGAGTTTGCCTGAGGCCAAAGAGACATTAAAATGTGGCCAAAACAGCTTATTTCCAGATTGGCTTCTGGCATCCTCTATTTAACCAGACTGTTCCCTTGCTTTAAAACACTGTTTGCTTCTGTGGGACTGCACAGGGAGGAAATTAGTGCCCAGGCAGGACCTGGCTAGGAGGCTCTGTATTTAGAAAAGTATACAACCAGAATGGATGCTTGCTAAAATCTGCTTTGTGCTAGGTGCGGATCAGCACGCTTTGTACCACCAGCATTCTAAAAATGCAGCTATTTTGTGCTAGTTTTCCACTTTCCCCCCCATACTTTTCTTTGTGTGCACAGAGTCCAAATTTCCATATGAGGAGACAGATAAATCTTCAAATTAATTAACTGAGACCTCTGCTGCCCACCTGCCAATTTCTTAGTATGCTTTCTTGTTGCCTGTCATCAGGCATTTTTGCCTTATAATTATATTAATGCCACAAGCTTTTTAAAAGGCTGTAGTTGTTGGAAATTACACTTTGAGTATGCTACCATGAAGCCTACAAACAGGTAAGGTTTCCTTCCAGCAGATCCTTCAAAGTGAGTGTGGGGGTTTTTTATTAAAGGACTATAAAACCCCAAAGGTCTTGCATTCAATGTGTTCATTTTTCAATATCCCTTAGCCCTTTGAAAGCCTCTGAGTCAATATGTCTACCACCAGAATGAGCCTGGGTGGGAACATAACCTTCTGATGGAAGAATGAGAGCCAAAGGGTAGCTGATGTGCTCCTCTGACCCAGAGTCATACCCTGACAACAAATAGTTTTCCTCTATAGTAACCATGCAGGCTGCTGAGGTCCTAAGGGCACTGCACTGCACAGCTAAAATAAATAGAGACACCCCAGGAAAAGGAAGCAGCAGCATATTTTATGTATGCACACTGATTTTGTAACAGATGGCACAAGGCAATTCTGGTTAATGAAGAGAAGGCAAATCTTTGACTTTTTGGAAAGATACAGAACTGCTGACTGTGCCTGTCACCAAAGACAACCTTGGGTTAAAACTTCTCTGGGGAAAGAAGAGTGGAAGGTTATATTTTTTCTTACGTTTTTATAAACATATCTGCCTTGATAGTAGGTGCAGAGATCTGATGAGCTCTTCAGTTCACACTCACAGATTTTATTGTTACCAATATTTTTTCCCCAGTCGGAAGGTCCATTCAGCAAACCACAGCACTGGTTCTGCAAGGAGTAAATGAAATGGAGAGATGAGTTAAAAAATGGTTCATTTGCAGTTCAAGGAGAGGGAGTTGAGAGGAATAATGAAGGAGAAATTTCCTTTCATCTTTTACCATGTGGCACTTGTCCTAAATTGTTATGTCACAAACACCATTTACATTTTTATACCAGTTATAAGAAGGTAAGTATAAAAGTATAAAAAAAAAAAAAAAAAAGAAGAAAAAAGGAAAAAAGACCAGATTTTCAGTATACAGTGCTCAAAAACATTAATATGCTATAAAGCTAGTAATTGTCAATGCTGGAACGGAACTGGAACATGGAACAAAGCTGGGCATAGCATTTTCTGAGAATCAATCCTTCTTTCTACAGGTTGTACTTGCAGAAGGTAAGTAACAGCTCCAATAGCATCCACACCCTGAAAAAACAGGCAATAAATGTAAAATTCAGGCATATAAAACTCTGAAATCTAGAAAAATAACCACCTTGAAAGATGGTTAGCCCTTTAAATGAGGAATGGACTGAGGAGGCCTTGGCTCCATTTGTGATTTGTGAAACCTAAACCAGGTGCAGTTTCACTTCATGTTCCACTTTATTCAAGCCACTAAAGCTCAGGGGTGCAGACTTGAGTTTGAGGTCCCCCCTGTTTTAAAAAGCAGCTGGAAATGTTCACATAATTCTGTATAAAAGCAAAGGCCGTGGGACATAATAAAGCAATCCTGGGGTATTTAAAAATTAATACAGTAATTATGGGATTTTTCATTTTGCTCACCCTTCAATAATATCTCCAGGGAGCTGCTTATTATATCAGAAAAAATAAACTGGCTCAGAAGCAGAGGACAGGGCTGGAGGTGGAATGGGGAAGGAGAAGTGGAAGTAATGTAAGCCACTCAAATATTGTTTCTTGCTTCTTTTGTTTCACACCAGCAGCCTTTAAAAATACAGGAATTCTTTATCCTACCCATTAAAGGCATCACCCATTAGGACTAAAATAAAAGAATAACAGCAGGCACTCTCAGTGTATAGACGCAGGCACTAATGGGAGGGACAGGGGTTTACACCATCAGTAGTATCGGTGAGATTCAAGGGTACTCTCTGGGTGATACCCAGGAGCAAGGTAACACTAAGTGCCTACCTTCTGGGGTCCTGCCAGTGGGGGAAGCCAGGACATTAGCACAGTGATAACAAACCACCCTTTCATCATCTGTTTTCTTCCTGTTACTTACACTGTAAAGTGTGGTATTTAATCATTTCATTGCAATAGGATATTCCAAATGAAATACACTCCTGAATTTTTTCTTATCCCTGGAGCAATCTCTCCAGAGTCCCGGCTAGTTCTTAGTTAGGTGATACAGTGAAGGAGTAATGTCCCTTCAGAAGGGAAAGATGTTAGAAAGGAGCAGGCAGTCTTTTCATGGAAGACCTTAGCTAACTGCCAGTCTCGCATGTTGTGTGTCCTTGGTCCCTTGCTCTTATAAATGCTATTGTGCAGAGAAATCATCACAGAAAGCCCATGCCACATCGAAAGAGCAGAAGCCCCTTGTATAGTGCTTTAACTTGCATTTAATTCAGACCCGTCCCCATCTTCAGGGAATGAAATTCAAATCTATGGCAAAGTAGCCCTAAAATGAAGCACAGACAAACACTAGAGATGGAACATATAGCAACAACCCCTGCCCTTTGTTACATTTTAATTACCATTGTCTGAAACTCCTGGAGCTTCTCTTGAAGCACTTTAGATTCTTCTGTAGAACTTTGCAATGTATTCACACTCTCCTGGAGAGTCTCTTTAAGGGATGTTTCAATCTGCAAATCCAAATGTTTTATTAGTTTTGGGGTAGAAATAAAACTTTGGGAAGACTTCAGTGAAAATGTAGAATAACACTGTACCTGAGATCGGTACACTGCTCCTAAAATACCTCCTGTGACCTGGAGGATCAGGATCAGAAGCAGCCCAATAAAAAACTAGGAAGAAAAAAGAAGGGTGAGAAAACTGCAGTACTTTTGACCAAGATGGTATCATTTCCTCTAAGTGAATGTTAAGCTTTCATGTACTTGAATAGCCATGTAGGTAAAATGAACTGAAATTCCAGCCAGACCTATTCCAGTTATTCCTTCTTTGGCAATGAGAAAAGGGGGTGCTTGAGACAGAGTGTGCTCAGCTAATAACTGGAGGAGTGGCACAATGGACACTGTGTGGGTGATAGGTGTTGGGCGGGAGGACAGGGAGGACATTCTAGGGAGACCAGCAAAGGGAGCCACTGGGAATTTAGGAAATTAAATGGGATAGGTTAGAGGGAGGACTGGCGGAGGGAACTTAGGAGATGACTGGATGGAAAAAAAAAAACCCTAGTGACATGTTTGGGGCTCTCTGGACCCTGTTTTCCAGCTGAGGAGACCACCCATCATTTTTTCTGTGCTAGAATTCAGAAGGGGCTCAAGCACAAGGTAAGGAATGAAAACACATGATTATAATCAAGCTTATGGTTCAACAAAAAGGTCCTCATCCTCATATGATTCTATTTGCTAAGACCTTATCCATCAAATGTAGCTGTTGGCTGTTAAAGATATCCAAATGTTTTTCTTTCCTACCAACATCAGCATGCACCGGCTCTCCTTTATGGCTCCACAGCATCCCAGAAACCCAAGAATCATAATGATGGAGCCCACGGCTATCAGTAGATCAACCCCTGCAAACACACTGCTGTCTATCTCCAACTCCTGAAAAAAAGAGGGGAAGAAATCTTTCAGCCACAAGAAGTAGTTTCTAGAAGCTTCTGTATCCCTCAAATCAAGGTAATTACTTCATAACCAACAAATACATTGATTAGCAACCACGGAGAAATAAACAGACCTCCAATGCCCCTTTCTTAATTGTTTTGTTGTGGAGTTCAGTAGAACCTGGCTTTCCACAGTCTTTGTCTCTGCACAAGATGAAAGTCAACTTCACAGAGTAAATAAAGATCTCTTGTCTTTAAAGTGGCTTTTAGTTAGTTTTCAGTCAATGAATCTTCACTTTTTACTGGAAGTAGCAAAATTGATTATCTTGAAATCTCTCCTACATTAACCAAGTGTTAAAGAAACAAAATCTCTGCCATTAAAAGGCCAGGAACATACTCTGTGGCTGCTCCTGAGTGAACACTTTTCAGAGCAATGCTGGATATACTAGAGAAATACTTAGATGTATTTTCCAAAGCAGCTTTCTTTTCCTTTTTTTTTTTTCCAGCATGATCTCTAATATTACCCTCAAGGATGAAGACTGTATTTTGATATGTGGGACATTCAACTAAACAATTCATATACCTCAATATTATTAAATATCAAATTATTCAGTTCCCACAGGACTGACTAAGGCCAAAGGCCAAAATAGAGAAAAATGTTCAAAGAATATTTTCCCATGTGGCTGGTGCCAAGATTAGCAAAAATGTCTGGAAGTTGTCACATTTATCTTCTGATGGAAATTGCGAAGGTATATAGACAAGAATAATTTGAAGAATGTGTTGTTCTTTCCTATTCCAAGTTGGACTGAACCTCCTGTTATTTATTCTTAGAAAGCTCTATTCATCTACAACCAAATCCTTATGGTCTGTTCAATTATTACTCAGGCAAAACATACATTGATTTTGAATGGGAACTTTGCCTGCCTAGAGGCAAAAATGTGAGAAAATGCTTTCAATTTTAGTCCCTACTCCTAATGCATATTTTTGGGGAAGTACAAAGTGTCATTTTAGGAAACCAGTTTTGGATACACTTAAGTGTGCTTTTCTTAATAGGAAATCTTCCCCAAATTAAGAACGGATAATAGCAGTTATGGTTTTCCTAGCTCCATTGTACCATCTGAGCCATCATACTAGAGATGGTCAACTAGTAAGGATGGAAAATTTAGCTTCTTATAAAATGTTGATTGAGGAGTGCAAGTTGTCATTCTTCCTCTTCCACAGCAGGGAACAGCAGAGCTCTCCACCATGACCTGATTTACCCCATGGCACAACATCATCATGAACTGAGTTCTATTGCATCCATTCTGCCAAACATAAGACATCTGGGACTGGCTAAGAGCAACAGTGTCAGCAGCCAAATGGCAGGAAATATATAAAGCTATCTTCTTATCTCCACCATCTTTTTGTTTCCAGATAGGAAAATACTGGCTTAAAAGTTATTGTTCTTAACTGACAGACTGCAGTAGAGCAACAGGTGAGTGATCTGAAGATCTGCAACTTAATCTATACTAAAGAATTAGGCTGAAAGCTGAAAAACATGCTTCCATATCACATTTTTTTTCACTTCTATGGCCAGAAAATCTTTTTGGATATAGAAGCAAACAAGTTACATTTTCAAATTCGTTTACATTTGTATGGCTCAAATTCACAAGAAGAAATACACCGCTTATACCTTAGGGTCAGTTTGTTCTTCCTGTTAATATAACAAAGCACTGACATACGAAGATTGCACAGAGAATTGTACAGTGCCTTCTAGAGAATCAGTTACAAGCTGTGAACTCAGCTTCTCTCAAGGGGGACAGAAAACATGTGAGTCAGAGGCCAGTGGCACTGGGAGCATGCTTGGCAAAAGGCTGGCAGAGCCCACAGGGTGAAGGGCCTTTGCAGCAACAGGACCAGCCTCTGCTGCGTGTCTGCAAGATCAAGGGCTCCTCAAAACTGCACTATCCCTAGGTTTGCAGAAAAGGAAAGTCACTAAGCCTGACGTAATTTAATAACCCAGATAAAATCCATGAGGGGAAGTCAGGGACTTTCTTCTCCCCTCCAGGACTGTTAGGACATTTTAATCAGAAGTAAAGGGGTTTGAGTCTCTAAAGCTCTTTTTATATTAATATGAGGAGGAAAGGGTAAAGTGTTTTTAAGTAGCCACTGAAAATAAAAGCGAAAAATCCTTGCTGCCTTTCAAAGTTGCGGTTACTAGTAAAATAATAATTGTGTTATTGAAGAGAGAGAGAAAGGTAAAAATATTCCCTCCAAACATATGGAAGTAAACCTAGGAATGTATATGACTGTACTATTCTAATAGGGAAAGACACTGAAAAGTCTAGGAGCCGCAGGGCTCCTCATTATTCTCTCTAACGCTGAAATCAATATCAAACCCATTACTAGTTTTCATTAGAGGAGAGAGAGAGGCACGTCTTCCAGCAGAAATCTGTTGCATCTGCAAGAACCTACATTAATAACACTAGACGACACTTCTTGTAGTCATATGTCTCTGCTTGCATCAATTACTTTATCCAAATACCTGCACCATCTTGTTTAATCTTAGACATCATAAAATGCATCAATCTTTACCCACACAAACCACTTCAACGAAAACATAAAAAGTCTGTGGAAATGAAGTTTGGAACTGAAAGTGTATGCAGTGGTTTCCACATTTGACATGGTTCTGGTATGGCTGTATTCATTTACCTGCTGAGCATCTTTGCTAACACGTATCCATATAGAGACTCCCAAAATAATGGAACCACACACCTGCAGGAGAAAATAAAGAATGTTTAGAAAGAGCAGCAATTTTAGATTAACATTCAGCATCCAAATTGCACCAGATGCTGGCCAAAATTCTGAAATCTTTTGCTTGGCAAAGTGAAAGAAACATGATTTGCTGGAGAATAGAACATTGATTTGTATCCAGGAAACTTCTTCAGTTATGCACCAAATCCCTGATGTTTCTGTCTCAGAGGACTCCACATTTCCTTGATGATTTATACATGTGGTTGGGAAGCACACAGAAATTCTGTTAGATGAGAGAGGAATATAAATTGGTATTGTATGTATATAACATGACTGTAAAGAACATTGTTTCTTGGATAATGGAAACACATGAGATTTGATAAGGGATGTTTGTACAAATGTTGTTTCTAGAATTATTCAAGACGTGTCTAGGGACATACTCTCTATGGTAAAACTATCAGGAACATTTCTAAATAAAGTCTTTTTGTTGTTTCTATTGCAACAATATCTGGCCATCTCCAATCCTTTGAACATACCTTCTGTAAAACACCTATAGTTATAATTTTCATTACATTTCTACAGAAAAATCAGTCATGTACATTAGAAAGTTAGACAGTGATGACTTGCTTTAAGATGCTGAAATCAGGGCAGATGAATCCCATGTCTAAATGCATAATCAGGTCTAAACCCTAATCACTAGTTGTTCTCCTGTTTCGTTGATTGTTGAGGTACCATTCCACTATATGCCATTTACTCTATTTCTAACCTTGTCTGTGAGGATTCTTATACAGAATTTCTCTTCATTAAGTGCTGGAGACAGGTAGTTAAGAGTTTGATTAGATGAAAGGATTATGCCTTCTGAGATGACTGGTAGGAAAGAGATACCACTGAAGACCAGGGTGTAGTCATATTTAGAATTATCTTCCTGTATGTCACTAACACTCAAGTCATAAAAGGCCCTGAAATGTTGTTTTTAGCTTCCCATGAAGACTGAGACTATTCCTAACCTTTTAAAATTAGAAGAGCTATTTTTATATGTTTTAGATAATTTTTCCTAAAAAATACTTTCCCCGCAAAAGATTTCACATAATATTTAGCATCAAAGACCATAATGACTTTAGCAGATTATTTAATATGGAACAGAGCCAGCACTCAGACATGAGTACCACACATTTTCCTGTTCTAAGTAAAGTTTCTACAAGTACATTTTAAACATGAAAAGGAAAGTCGTACGATCGATGACAACTGTACCATGTTATCAAATTTAACTAGAGCTCCCCACTGAAACCTTCTGAATTCCACTAAATCTGACTGGAAACTGATGGTATCATATGACTGTATATTTGGGTCTTGTTCAGCAGCGCTATGTGAGACATGTGGCTATGCAACAGACAACATGATCTCATTAATGTGAAAATTTCCACGCAAGCAGCTATTGCTACAAATCCAAACAGATTCTGGCCCACTGCCTTATTTGTTACAGAGGACCTCCCATAAAAATACAGCACAGTAGTAGAAATAAATATAGCTGAATATACAGGAACTTAGCAATCGGATGGGAATGCTACAATATTTACTTAATTCAAAAAAAGAAACATCATTAATAAATGAAAATTTTTAGTAAGGTTCATATATTTTCATTATAAAAATAGAGCTGGTTTAGGTTAACAAAAAATGGTTCATTTCAATAAAATCTTAATGTTCTGTTTCTGTTTATTTTCAGAATATACAAGTTGTACCCAAACACACAAAGAAAAGTTTTGGAATAACAAATCAAAATGGCTTGTTCCCAAAGGGTCCATGTTGAACTTTTGAAGTTTGCTGGAATATTCCATCCTAATTATTAAGTTTTCTTAAAACAAAGTTTCAACTAAAGAAATTTTCATTTCAAGAAATTTCATTGTTAATAAACAAGTATTTTCCAATGGAATAAAAAAAGTTTCTTTGAAATAGTCCTCAACTATTTTTCCAAAACTTGATGGCTATTGTAGCTTCGCCTCAACCCTCAACCAAGAATCAGTGGCCTTGTCACAAGTTTCATAAACTGATCAGGAACAGGACTGTTGTCCCTCAAATTCAACCGGTCCTTCTCTTCTTGAGCCCTTCAGTCTTAGTGTGATGAAGAAATAGAGCCTAGTTAAATTAATATCACCTCAGATGAGCCTACTGTGACTCTGGACCAGTGCTGTATCAAGACTCTGCATTTCTCAGACACAGGAATACCAAATCTATGGGGAATTCCCTCCACTGGCACACATTTTAAGCAACCAGTGTAAGGGTATCAGGAGGAGCTTTCTACAAGGTTGCTCTCATTCATGAAAACATCTGACTGGAATACTTTCTTAAGATACCTGAAATTGACAGTGTTAGGAAGGTCCCACAGAGAATATGGTCTATGGTTCATCATACCTGATAAGCCTGTGTTGTTGCTTTCAGAGATTGAGATGTTTAGATGTAAGGTATGGGGAAGGGGCCACTTCAGTTGTAGATGAGACTGCCAGCCTGCTATCAAAAACTGGTCAAAGATTGCTCTGTTACTGATGGATTGCCACAGATTAGGATCAGAAATCAATATTTAGTGAAAAAAAACACAGTCATTCTACAATTTTGTATGATGTGAAGTAGCAGCAGGTAAGACTGGATATCCTGCAAACTTGGAAAAGGGGAAAGAGGAAAAATCTGATCTATATGTCAGGTTTAATGCACAAAACTGATTTCATTATTAATTTAAGGACCATTAAAAGCTCCATATAGGCACTCAGCTCCAAAGCACAGGTTTTCAAAAGCCCATGCTCAGCTTTCTTCCACCAAACTGGGAGGATGAAAACTCCTGCACACGCTCATGGGGCTGTAGATTCCCAGGGGGCACGCTTCACGTAGTGAAGCCAGAGTCATTTTACAGAGCTAGCTTAGACCGTTTTAGGAGTTACATACTTAGTGCTGTGCTCTAATTGGTGCTAAGACAAAGGCATAAGAAGGCTGGAAAACCCATTCCCAAATCCCCTAAGAAGGGACACTCCCATAGAGATAGCAGTGGGCTTAAAATGAAAGGACACCAAGTAAATATGCAGCTGTAGCTCTTATCTAGTTAAGGTTAAAGTCACCTTCATTTCCCACTATCAGTTTAATTTTGCCACTTGCCAACTGCCTTGTGCACCAGGGAGAGTAGGTGAGGGAACAGTGGTGGTAAAAACATCACTGTTTCCTGTACTTTACTACAGCAATTTAATGATTAGCAGGAATTAGAGAAAGGAACATGAATAAAAGAATTCAGCTTCATTGTACTCTGTCAGCAAATGTTCCTGTTTGCACCACACCTGTTCTTCCCTATCTTGGTAGTGCTAAACCTCTTTTAAAACAAATAAGTATAGCTACATTCCTGGCCTCTTCTGTCCCAACTATGCAGTCACATGCACAGAAAATGCCCTCAGCATATTCTTCCCCAGAACAGAGTAATGATTTTCCTACCTTTGGCACAAAGAGAGGTTTGGGAAGTTTGTTCCCCACCTTCTTGTTTCCTGAGCTTTCCAGACTTCCCCAGGATCACAGCCTCTGTTTTTAGCTAAGAAATTCATGCTGCCACTGGAGTCTTAGGCATGGGGCATTATTAACATGTTCATTCCAGGAGTAGTTTGGAGTTTTTCTGACGCTATTCTGAGACATTTGCCTATGTTTTTGCTCACAGTAAATACATATGAATGTGGACAGGATAAACTCCTTGAGGGACAAGAATTCCAAGTCAGAAACTATGGACTCTTTTAAATACCATTGCAGAAAAACTTCAGCAGAGATGTCAGACATCTTTAATTTGCCTTGGTGGAGATGAAGTGAGAAGGGGAGGGGGAGGCAGTTGAAACCATCACTGGCATGTGAGGAATTTCCTTGTGATGTCCACAAGTGATCAAATAATTCTGCTAATTCTTCTCATTTTGGCCAGCCACAAGTTTTCCAAGGCTACTGTTTGTGGTCCCTTTTAAATGGTATCACTTTTTCACTTGAAAAAAGTACCTCTTGAGGAAAAGCCCATAATGTGAGTAGTAGTTCTGCTTCTGATTTCAGCGAACTTCTGGTGAACCTGAGAAATCTCTGTCAGGAAAGCTGATAATGAGGCTAAATGAACCATGAAAGAAATGTTCTTCAAGTCAAACCTTTCCACATCTTCCAAGACCTGAGATTCTTGCAAACCAGCTGAGATGTTTCAAATTCAAATGACACCCAGAGACCTGCCTGCTGCCCAGTGCTGAATCTGCCTTGATACAGCTATTGGCAGTACTGCCAGCCCATACCATTTTAAGAACATTTACTGTCCACCATCAGAAACTAATTACGACATTGAATGTAACTCCATATCCGAGGAAGGATATGAAAAACATTTATCAATTAGGAGGCTAAAAATACAAGTGAATTTTTTGTATCTCCTGCTGAAACTACATTCTCTGGATTATGCCATTTGGATTTAAGCAGCAGACCATAAAAGCAACAAAATGCAGCATTCTAAGTAGAGAGCCTGATATCTTCTGACTGAAATTAGTGATGTCTTTTGACATAAGGGTCATGATATGGGCAGGGGACAGACTTAAGGCTGGTCTACTTTCGAATGCAGAGGGAAAGGTATTTTGAAGGAAAAAGACAATGGGAAAGGCAAAAGTTAAACATATTCTCCCCTCCTTAATTTAGAATCATGCTCTGGTTCCACTTATGCTCTATTTTCTTTACAATTCCTTCAACTACAGCTTTCAGGGGCACATTTCATGCATCACTAATAACAACTTAAACCCCAGCTTACCCAAAATAAGAAGTTGAAGATGAACATCGAGTACTTCATGCAGCTGCTTACACCCGCCATTTTCAACACGCTGAGACAAAAACAAGCACTGCAGAAGAAGCTTTCCTGAAAACTTGACCTTGATATAGAAGTTGTTGCTGTGTCTTCAAAAAAACTGTCAAACCACGTCAAATACACTGTGCTTCGCCACTGAAAGCAAACCCTGTGACCAGGGCACTGACAATTATTTAAATAGCTCGTATTCCACAAGTAAACATTAACCAGAGTGTAGGGGAAGCATTGTGAGGTATTATCACTGAGTCTCCAGACTCTTATTGTGTCCTTGTGATTTGTACTTTCCTGCAGTGCAGTTAGTCTTGTCCTACACCTCAAAAGTAAATAGATAATGCAGGAAAAGTCATAGTTTCAAGAGAAAGGGAAGTGAGCATAAAAAAGTTTTATAGACCTGCTTTTAAGAGGTGGAAGTGACTGTGTTTCTTAATGCTTTTAAGTTACAGGGTTTACTCGACCATTGCCAACATTCATTCAGTCACATTCACTCTCCCACTCCAAATGCACAACTGGAATAAAGGGATGGGTCTGAGTTACCCCATGAGAGGAATGGCAAGGAATCTGCTGCCATTTTCTCACTCTCGGTGTCTACTTCAGATCCTTTTCCTCTTCCTCACTAGATCAGGACCTGAGGAACCTGAGCACTGTGGTGCACAAAGCGTTCTGTTGTGCAGGTTTCCAAAAATGTTGTGAACTCCAGAACAGAACTGCAGTTCTGGAATCAAGAGTGAGGATACGGCTCAGCAACAGGAGCTAGATTAAACCCAGAGGACAAGGCAATAAACCTGCTTCACTGGTTTTGGTTTATGTCTTGTTTGTTTTCTTTTGTGCTCTTCAAGCTAGGAATCCTGAGGGGAAAACAAAAGTATCTTTGCTCTGGTTTTTAGTATCAGCCCACTTTCTGGAGAAGCCCCATATAGCAGTCCTTAGAAGGATGAGGGTCAGACAAAGGTTCTCCCCTGAGTTTGCCATAAAAAAAGAAGCTTTATTTTCCAGGAGAGCACAAAGGATTTAAATGTGAGAGATTAAGATCATGCTGTACTGAACTGATTTATGAAGCTCCCTAGGCCCAAGCCCATTTTTCAGCCTTCACTGTCAGTTCCCATTCTTCAGTTCTTCTGTCTGTATTTGGAAAAAAAAAGAAAGTGTCAGCATATAGAGCACCTGCAGATGGTGACAAAAAGATGTAACTTAGAGCCTGGCTTTTGGAGGATCCACAAAAAACAGTCTGCTCTACACTGAAAACAACTTCCTCTAGCTGCTCTTTCAACCAGTTTTTAATGAAGGTGTGATGTTGTAATGTGTCCATGCACTTTCATTAATTATATTTAAACAGACACAAACAATCCCATTTTTATGAGTGGGTCTGTACCTGCCTTTGACTTTCTGGGCTCCTTTCTGGAGTAATACTCATTTTTCTAACTCTAGGCAATTGGCTGACTGAGTAGCTTATTTCACAATACCGCCCTGAATCTGAGAATGTTCCTAAAAATAATTGCGCTCATGAAATACAGATTTTGTAAGGACTGGGAGAAACAACTATGTGGTATGGTTTAGATCTAAAGCACTCAACAAATAAGTAAGTTGAGAAATGTGGGCGTCATTATGGAGGGATGCCATAGCCACAGATGAATCATGACAAAAGTTTAAAGGGCTGTATAAAATTGTATGAAAAGGGCCATGAAGGGTAAGAAGGGAACCACAGATGATGCAGGATTTCAAGAAGTATCAGTATTTGTATCAGTAAAGTAAGTTTATTGAAAGTGGAGTTGGGAAACAACATTTTATAGCAAATGCTACACAGCTATAAATCTTCACACACATTACATGCTCATTAAAGGAGGCTTGAGCTGTAGCACTGTTGTCTGTGAGATGCTTAGCCCAGGCATTCAGTCACAAATGTCCGAGGGAAGCTGTCCTAGGGCAGTATTAATATAGAAAGCCAGAATGAGCATTCACACACACACACCCACACACACTGGCCCATCAAAAAAGGCCAGTGTGCGAAGACCTTTCACATGCAAGAGGCTCGCTGCCTCTTTGCCTCCCCACTTTCCCTCACAGCACTCTTGGATTCTGGGCAGGTAGGGATCTGTGCCAGCAGTGCCCGGGAATGACTCCCAGAAGGATATACAGTCATGGATTGTTGGAGGACCCTAGGCCTGTCTTGGGGCAGAGAGTTCCACAGCATCTCTGGACCTTTCCCCAGCCTCCATCCTCAGGAGGTGTAAGCACAGCACAGCTGAGTTTCTCATTCATCCTAGGATGTTTAAACAGCTGAAGATAGATATGATTTAGATCTGAAACCTGTTTTCATTACAATTTTATACTTATGGCTGTGGATGTTGAAGAAATTTGCCAGAACTTCTGAGGTTTCTTTTTTAAATATACCTATTGAACATTACACAGAAGCAGGTTCTGGTAAGATCCCGGTTCCTACACCCTCAAAATCTGCATTTTATATGTTTACTGCTCCCTTTAGAAAAAGCAAAAATAGTCTTTCTTAGGGTTATATGTTCCTTTTCTAAGATGGCAAATGGGAAATAAAGTCAAGTACATTTCCTAGTGGGTTTCCAACATGCTAAATGTGGCTGCTGAATAGAAACTCAGGATCTGAATGTACTACAATTCCTACATGTTTCATATCTATATTTAATGGCATCCAAAGTCAAAATATGCCACCTAACGTTAAAAGCAAACAAACAGTTTCCATTAAATGACAGATTTTCAAGTTAAATCTTCTGTATGAGTTGATTTCTTATTTCTTGGCTACACAGCGGTTTTTTGTATGTCTTGGAGAAGGGGAAGGCCACAGATGGCACAGATTATGTTTGCAATTGCAGCTACAAGTATGAAGGTCATGCAGATAATTGCAGAAGCCTATCAATGACAGCAATGACGTGAGAAATTTTGGTGCTATTTGGCTGCATATGAAATTTCTCCCATTACCCCTCCACTAACCATTTAGATGATCAGCTGTGCTCTCCCAGTAACAAAACCCATGCCACAAACTGCCAAAAAGCTTTTTCCAGTATAGGAGTTTTAAAACCCTGTTCAGTTACTGCTCCTCCTCACAGATTAGAAGAGGAGGATTACCAGTACACAGTACACTGGGTGCAGCACAAGGTGGGAGCCTCTGACGCAGCACGCGTAGTTCTCCACCACCACAGGGGAGCTGCAATGACATGCTGACTTTGCCCGCTGTATCACTCAAAACACCGGAAAGGGAGAGGCATATCTTGACAGAAAAATAATGCCAGTACCCTTGCAATGAACTCAGAGTAAAGGATCTCCCTTTTGACACTTCTGAAGCAGCTACAGTTGGTTTCATAATGCTTTTATCTTCCTTCTTCTCCAAGCCTTTCCTCCCTTTGTGTCTCCTTATGCTTTTTACAACCCCTATTTCCCCTTGTGAGGTGCCTCTCCGTGGTCAGGCTGTGACCAAAGCCCCATATCGAATGATTCACTGCACAGCTAGTCATACATTCAGGTCTAAACAGGCTTGAAAAACTGGTTTGCCCTGGGTAGCAGCGAACTCTTTGAACAGTGTGATGTGGCTAGTGAGTAATAGAAGTTTGTTTGCCATTGGAATTTCTCCTCAGTGTGGTGATAAACACAAAATAGAGAAGGCAGATAAGAACTATATTAAGCATGGAGCTTGCAACCTCGAAGAGTTCAGTAGATCTCTGGGTCTGCTGAAACAGTAAGGAGAGGCTATATAAGCCATGCAGAGACAGATCTCAGGTTGTCACAGCATTTGATCTTCAGCCAATGGGATACTTCACCTCTTGAAACCTCACCTGTTTCTCTAAGGTCTCTAATCAATACAAGTTTCTGCATTTCCTGATTAAAGTCCTGTCTAAACAGTAGTACAAAGGAGAAGAGATTTTTCACGCTTTCACAATAACTTGCTCACCCCTGATGCCAGGTGAAACAAGTGCTGTGTGCCATCTCCTTTCTTTTTCTCCCTCTTACCACATTGTGAACCATTACAGGGGTGAATATGCCTCAGAGCAGATCTGGAGCCTCTCAGTTTCCTTTGGGCTATATAAATGAACTGGGCACCAGTTAGTGGCATACTGGGAACTGATTTCTTGCCTGTTAGGACATTTACTTTCACTTTGAAATAATAGGTGTTTGTAGCCATTAACAATGTAAACCCTTCTTTCTTGATAACAATGTTCCTCTGCACTCCAGACAATAAAAATGTAAACTTTTTTATAAAAGACACAGCTTAACACAAGTTGCTGAGCAACCCAGCTCAGAAGAGGCAGTGGCCTGACCACCAAAACAAACCTTGATGTTCCAGCCATGTCTATACACTCAGGAGCAGGCAAACCCTGTCCCATTTCCCAGCGCTGGGCTGGGAAATGTATAGCTGTACAACACCAGTGCTCTCCCCTTTTTATAAGGCCTGGAGAAAAGCAGCACAGAGGTAAGATACCCTTCGTCCTAGAACAGGCACTTGGAGGGGTGGTCCTGTGGCCCAGGTGGCTGTGTTGGCCATGGGGGTCTTGGTCAGAGGTGCGCTGTGCCATCCCTCTGACCACACTTTTCACATTAGCGCTGGAAATCTTGTCCCCAGGGAGGGAGTTTAGGTGGGTATATGTGTGCACAAAAGGATCCTATTCTGACAAAAGAGTTTCATCAGAAAATCCCCAGTCGGCTCTGCTCTGAAGTCCTATCCAGGCACTCCATGGCCTCATGCCAACATCGGTCATATGTTCCTGCTTTAGCAAGGTCTAGTGTCTCAGACACTCTCACTTCCCCTAAAGTAACAACTCTTCCACCAGAAAAGAAACCTCTTGCAGCACGTCTGCCTGTTATTTACTCTCCCTCCCAAAGGATGCAGCCTCCTCTTCCCATACACCACTGGTCCATCTGAAAAGTCTCTGAAATACAGATCTTTAAGCTTTTATTGATATTTGACTCATATTAAAATAAAATAAGTCCTCAAGTACAAATAAACTCATGTACATAATCCACATATCTTTCTTTTCACCTTCCCTACCTCCTCAGACCTTTTCATTTACTGCTAGCCTTCTTGGCTGTCTTACAGCCTTTTTGCTCATTTCTGTACTTCATTGAATAAGCTCTTCTTTTATGTCAGAGGTTATGTCACGAATTTCATATTTCCCAGTGCCTGGTCAGGATTCATTTAAACTCTATGTCTCCGGGTCTAAAATATTTTGTTGGTTTCAAAATGAATTCATCATCGATTAACATGTTAATCAGTGTCAGTAAGGGGTT